GATAGTTTCGTACTGTAGTGTTGCGCGTGCAAGCAAGTCAAAAAGTGAGACAAATACGCCTAAAGCATGACGTCTGGCAACCCTAACTATCACATAATCACCTCTACTTTTGTAATATTGTTACTTGATTTTAAGAAGATTTTATTAAAAAATATTTTGTTTCATTTTAAATGTTTATGTCTCGATTAAGATTTAACTACAACCTCAATTTCAGCCTCTCTGTATTACATTACATAAAGAACAATATAGTGAGTCCACGGATGGACTTAACTATGTAAAAATATTTATTTTAAATTAAAAAAAGTTATTTTTCATAATTTTTTAATGTGAATCGTATTTATTTAACAAGCAAAAGTCCATCCGTGGACACACTGTATAATGCTGTAGAACTAATTCACATTATACCATCTATAAAATGTTTCAGAGCAACTTTCGGGGAAAGTACCGTAAAAGTGCTAGTGTGATGTTTTTCGAACATCACTTTGTAACCTTTATGAAATGTGCTATAAAAGTCTTGCCGTTGCGGACATTCGGCGGTTGCATGGATATTAGGGTTACATTAAAATTACATTGCATGTCAGGTTAAAGAGCCTAAAATTGCAGCTTATTAACGTTGCACATACAGGTATTTGCACGATCTACGCGGCCAAAAGTTCCAATAACAAAATAACAATAACATTCACAATAACGAGTTCCACGAACAGAGGACGAATCCGGGAACAATACCCATGCCCATCTACCTGCTATCTCGCACCCCCCTACCCTAGCGTCATTCTGAATTTGACCGTTTTACCTATTGTACGTATGAGGGGACCTATTTTCAAACCGTGTGAGTACTCATTTCTCTCAAGATTCTCATCAGAAATGTCATACGTCAATGTGGAAACGCTGTTTTTAAAGGCCTCGAGGATTAAAATTCTTAGGAGGATATTAATTATCTCTAAATAAACCGTGAGAAACAATCAGTGAGTTTACACTGGCCCTTACCCTAAAAATACTGTTTTACGTTGACGTATGACATTTCTCTCGAGAGAAATGAATTCTCTCGACTTTGAAAATAGCACCCCTGTTCTCGGTGCTTTTCTAAACGTTAAACTTCTAAAGTGAATTTTTATGTTATTAAGTTCTACTTAAGAATTGCAAGCGATGGAGTCTGATGGACAAGGCAAGAAACTTTCAAACTACATTAATAAAGTCACGATTATCCATTATACAATATAATTTTTTATAGCAAAAAAACTCATTGTCATGCAGTGATTTCCTTAAATATTTTTTTATTCTAGTGCTTTTGTTTATGTATCGGGGTAGATTGAGCTTTAGTTATCATTATGGATTATTATATGATCCTTTTCCTTATAAATGCTAACAAAAACATCTCCAGAAACGTCCGGATAAATACAGCTTTGAGGCATTAATTAAAGATATTTAGCAAAATTTCTTATAAAATTGGAAATGTTTATTACAGTTCATCAAATTTCTAGAGGCTTTCGACGGCTAGACAGAGAAAGCACTACTGACAGGCATCCCGACGGATTTACGCAATGAAAGTACACTCTGCGCATCAAGTATTTCACTATTTCATTCAGACGTAAATGTCAGATGTAAATTTCGCTAAAACATTTCTTTTATTTTCGTTTGTGTTTTTTGCTCATTACAGTTTAATAGAACCTAAGTATGGAGTTTAATAGCAAATTAAGAGGCCGCGTGATTAACAGTCAATCTCGCGAAATAATAGCCAATGTTATAGAGTTTATGAGAAGAGAAGGAAACTTTAATTCACCTTCAATACCATTTAAAAATGTAAATGATCGTGTTGCTGCAGCCACAGGAGTATCTAAAAACACTGTCGTCCGCATTTCTGGAGAGAGAAAAAGAATCGATAACCGTGAGATATCGGAATTTTCATCACCAAGAAAAACCATTAAAAAACCAAAAACAGTTAATGATATAGATGAAGCTACACAAGAATCAAATTTTATTTTTTTATTATTAGATAGCTATTTTTGTTTCTGAGTTGTGTTCATTTACAGGCTCAATTTTTTTCCGTTTCTCCTTTTTGATTTTATATGGAGTTTCAAGTTGTTTTTGACTTATTTCGACGTGAATCACAACAACACACTTTATTAATAAAGCAAACCAGTGTTAAGAGGTATATGTACGTGTAAACTACAATTACAAAAAATTGATATGAAACCCATGAAACCACCAACAAAAATGTAAAGCTAGCTTCCGTACTAGAACATGGTGTCATTCGTCGAGATAATTTATCGTTTTGTTTAATAGATCAAGAAATGTAAATATTCCCGTTATTTTTTATAAAATTATAAGAGAAATAAATTTTTTTCTAAATAGTATAGTTTATTATTTTGTAGAAAAACAAAATTTTGAAAATTTTAGTAATGTTTCAGAAACAACCGTTATTAATAATAGGTACCATTTTCCTTAATAAGGTAGAAATAAAATATAAACTATATCCACGATTTACAAAGGCCTACAAAAAAATTATAGGTATTTTCCGCTATCCTATAAAATTTATATTTTCTGACTCAATTTCAAAAGGTTGAAGGAATTCCAAAACACCTTTTATGGCATAATAATTATTTTCAATTCTACATACTATCTTTAGCTGCTTTTAAAAACGTTCTAAGAAAGTCCAATCAGACCAATTTAATCCCTAAACTATTCCACACTTTTAAAATTTAATTACCTAAAAATATTAAAAACTATTTAAAATAACTTGTTTAGCAGACTGTACAATAGCTATCTTAGTCACACGTAGCGCGTTCTCTGTCTGGGCGTCGAACACCTCTAGAAATTTGATGAACTGTAGCTGCTTTTAACATAGTGTATGTTTGTTTTAGGTTTCGAGGGTGCATCAGAAGTAAGGGTTGTGACTCGAAAATACTTGCACGACCGCATGAAGACAGAAAATTTGCATAATTTAAATGCCAAATTAAAGTATCTAAAAGATCAACTTTTGTCATGTGAAGGTTATAATGAAGATCAAATTATTAATTTGAAACGTGGTTTCGCCCATTTCAAATCAAAAATTAAACAAAGGTGGATCAAAGCTCATTATAAAGAAGATAATTTTATAAAATACAACCGAACTTGGCTGGAAGGTACTTTTAAAATACTTGTCGTTGGGGCTTCACAAAAACGGCCAGGTCGATCATCCAAATCGATTGAAGAAGCAAGTGAGAGAAGCAAAAGACGAAAGATATCACCAGTTCTCCGACACGAGCAACTAAATATAAAAATCTGATGTGTCCAACACATGACTTTCCTATCTAGTTATTACAGGCTTTTTCCGGTTATTTTGTACAACCTATTGCAGCACCTCCATAAATGTTTAGATGATAGAATAAATATATACATTTTCCACATACATCTACCTCGAAATATTTTTCTATAGATATTCATTGAAAATGAAAATACTGAAAAATTTAAATTTAGCACTTTTCCTACAATTTTTCCATTACGGTCCATTTTAGAAAAATCATGTATAAACAAAAATTATAGAGATCATAAAAATCAGAATTTTGCACATTTTGTCAAATTTCTCGAATACGGACCATTTCAGGAAATTTTGACATAAGGCAAAAATTATAGATAATATTAGAAATAACTTTTATTTGAACATTTTTTTTTCTCCAAACATAAATAACAGATATATTCCATAAAATATAAAAACGGCCCCCTATAAAGTACCCCCCCCCCCCAGATGTTCTGACTTTGTCCAAAATCTAATCATTTCACGTCAGGCCGAAATAAAACTTAAGTTTAAAATTTAATGTTTTTTTCTTTATCCGTTTTTGAGTTTTCTTCAAATTTCAAAATATACACATTTTCTCAAATATCTCGAATACGGTCCATTTTAGAGAAATTATGTATATGAATAAAAATTATAGAGAATTATATTACAAACAACTTTTGTTTGAACAATTTTTATAAAAAAATATTTTTTTACATTTTGTCAAATTTCTCGAATACGGACCATTTTAGGAAAATTTTGTATAAAATAAAAAAGAACTTTTATTTGAAGAATTTTCTTCCCCAAACGTGAATAACAGATATATTCCATAAAATATAAAAATGACCACCTATAAAGTACCCCCCCAAATGTTCTGACACTGCCCAAAATCTAATCAGCACATTGGACGCTGGTACAAAGCTTAAGTTTGAAATTTGGTGTTTTTCTGTGTATCGGTTCATGAGTTATGCGACACACAGACACACACACACACACACACACACACACACACACACACACACACACACACACACACACACACACACACACACACACACACACACACACACACACACACACACACACACACACACACACACACACACACACACACACACACACACACACACACACACACACACACACACACACACACACACACACACACACACACACACACACACACACACACACACACACACACACACACACACACACACACACACACACACACACACACACACACACACACACACACACACACACACACACACACACACACACACACACACACACACACACACACACACACACACACACACACACACACACACACACACACACACACACACACACACACACACACACACACACACACACACACACACACACACACACACACACACACACACACACACACACACACACACACACACACACACAGAGAGAGACACAGACATCATCGCGAAAATAGTCAAAACGGATTCAGGGGACCTCAAAACGTAAAAATCCGTCGAAAACTCGAGGTCGAAAAAAATCATGATTCCTATACTTTCCTTATATCTGTATACAGATAGGAAAATAAAAAGGCTTATCTTACGAAATCAAGTAAAGAGCACTCCTTGACACCAATGCAAGCTTTGCAAATTTTTATAGATGCCGATTTGACGCAAGGACAGTACGAAATCATAATAAAAAGCAATAAGTTTTTTTCGTGCTATAGTGCATTACAAAAAGCCAAAAAGAAATGTTACCTATATCAAGAATCGTTAATGGTAACGAGTACCAGTTACAGCCTCTAATGGATTTTACCGTTAGGCGTTTACCGGAGTACCTAGAAGAGGTATTAATAATTTTAAAGGAGAAAGAGCGTGATTGCCTAACTATAATTAATAAATGGGGCTGCGTTGGATCTCAACAATCACAGTTCAAACAAAAACTAGAAAGTGACATTGATTCGGATTTAAGCATATTCCAAAGGTATTTTGTGCCTCTTCAATTAGTTTCTGGAGATAAAAATGAAAAAGTTTTATGGAATAATCCAACCCCCTTTTCGCCGCGACCAATAAGATTCCGTTTTATCAAGGAAACTAATGATGTAACTGAAGAGGAAATAACACACGTCAAAAGCGCTATTACCACTTTAGTCCCAACAGAAGTCGACCTAGGAGGGAAAAAGTTGTTAAGCACAAATTTATCATGACCATGGTAGATGGAAAGGTCTTCAATGCAGCTAAAGTCTACGAGTAGGTGCTACATATGTGGGGCAACCTCGAAAGATTTTAATAAATTGGATTACAAAGGAGAAGTGAATTTTACAGCCCTTGAATTCGGCATATCTCTGTTACACGCTAGAATTCGATTATTTGAATGCATCCTATACTTAGCATATAAGCTAAAAGTGAAAAAATATAGGGGAAAAAAATTGAAAGAGGAGAAAGATCTAGAAGACCAAACCAAAAGAGATACAAACAAGGTTCCGCACTGAAACAGGTTTACTAATAGATATGCCTAAATCCAATTTCGGGAATACAAATGATGGAAATACTAGCAGAAGGTTCTTTGAGAATCCCACATTAGCTGCAGAAATAACTGGCATTAGCTATGAACTGATATATAGACTAAAAATCATATTGGAAGCAATTTCAAGCGGATTTGAAATTGATCCGGTAAATTATGAAAGATATGCTTCAGAAACTGCTCGACTTTATGTTAAGTTGTATGATTGGCATCCTATGACGCCAACAATGCACAAGATTTTAGTGCATGGTGCAGTCATTATTGAAAAGGCATTGTTACCAATCGGACAGCTTTCCGAGGAAGCAGCTGAGGCTCGCAATAAACATTTCAGAAGTTACCGACAAGATTTTGCGAGGAAATTTTCCAGGGAAAGTTGTAATCAGGAGATTTTTAATCGCCTTCTGCTTAGTTCAGATCCTATGCTAAGTAGCATGCGAAATGTAAAAAAAAGGAAAGCAAAAACATTTTTGCCTGAAACCTTGGCCATGTTCCTATCTGCAGAATCCCATATTGAAACAGGAAGTTCATTATAGAGCGACGAAGAAAGTCAAGAAACTTAACAAAAATTTTTTGCCGACCTAAAATTTTGTATTTTTTTTGTAAATATATAATTATTTTTAGAAAATATATAGATTTGTTGTAAAAATAACTTATTTTATTTATTTACGTTGTTTAGATACCAAATAAGCAAAAAATAATTTTGGCCGCGTAGATCGTGCAAATACCTGTATGTGCGTCGATGGAATCTTTTTGTGTTACCTGGGAATTGTTTACATCTGGTATAGATGAATTTTAAATAATACTTTATTGCTTACATTTCTTTACAGATACATTTTTTCTATTATTTCATATACAATAAATTTGACAGTTATTAAGCTGTTAATATTTGCTACATGGTCACTCGTATCCGAAATCAGAGCAAGGCAGCTACAATCTACTACAGTACTTATGTAAATTTCCATCCCCATGTACAACACGAAATAAATAAGCTAGGACGTCAGAAGGAGAGAACTGTATTAAAGCTGGTGAGAAGTTTTCATTTTATTTCATGGAAAATACATTTAATTTTATATCCAACCCGAAAGTTGAACGTAATATTTAAAATCTCATTAGATGTTATTTATGGAGTATGTAATTCGTCGGAACATTTCCCTGATTCGACTTCGGTTGCATCAGAGCACGGATTTGAATTCCAAATTTGTCGACATTATTTACGTCGACTTAAAGCTCGGCATTAGGACGCGAAAAACGTGTAAAGAGACGACGGCAAATGCGGAGCAAAAAGGTGATGGAACTATTGAAAACAATAAAAATATCCAATTCGGTGTCTGAATTCTTCTCTGGCGGTGTTACTCTTACTGGCGCGCAATTTCTGGCAACTGCATTTTTATGCAGCGCCGCCATTTTCTTCGTCGGAGAAACGGTTTTTCGTCAGACACTTTACGACTCGGAACGCTTATCTGCGACTATACCGAGAGTTCGCTAGCAACTTTACTGCCGAGATAGTTTCGAAAGTGTAGCGACACCAGAGGCACCGTTCTGGCGTTTAAGCCAATTTTGATTCGAGAAAATTGATGAAACGTACGGAATGTTTCTCCAGATAGCAAGCTTGCAGATCTACGTCGAGTTATTGAATACCTGCTTTTATAATCGTTATCTCTGCTTTCAATCACGTCTAGCGGATGCGATCCGTCTTTGGCTATGGTGTTTATATTGAACTACATAAACTATATCTAACAAAATTCGTTTGCAATGAAAATTTAAATGCATCGGTTACTTTTTAATCAAACATGAACTTTTATAGGTGCATTGTTTACTGTGTACTACCGGTTGGATTTATGTTTATTTATTTACTTAAAATGGACTATAAAAATGCATTGGAATTTTTAATCCAATTTATTGTAAGACGTTTTCTCGCCACGGAGAAAACGATTAGTTACTTATAGAGCTGTGGCAAACCGTATGTATTCGTTACTCAGTAACGGGTAGTCGGTCAGATACGAAATACGAATTCGTTACTGCATTTTAAATTTCGTTACTCGCATCCGCATCGTCCCATAACGCACAATAATAATACTTGAGAATACATACCGCCACCGGTTCGGTGTGCAAGATGCGAGATGGCCCGATGGGCGATGCGAAATGCGAGTGTGGCCTTGATGCGAATCGACTATCGAACCGCACGTCAACTGGGACTCGGAGAGTTCGCAACGTACTTTTGTTTATATTTATGTATTTATTTCAGTTTTAAAGAATAGTATAATAGTTGTTTTTCTGTTGCGTGTTGCAAGAATATAATATGTTTTTGTTTATTAAAGTTATGATTTTATAGAATATTATTATTGTTTCTACTAGTGTGTTAGAAAAATATATGTTTCTGTTCAACCTGTCTGACGATATTTTATTTTGCAAAACTTCACATCAGTTCTCATTGCTCATGCTCAGTGAACTACACGAAAGTAACGAGTAACGAATATTTTTATACGGGTAGTCAGATCCGAAGTAACGAGTTAGACAATACCAAAACCTAACAACCGAAGCAATGCGTACGTGCGATTAGTTACCGACACCAATTCCGCATCCGCATAGACGTGTATGAGGTCCACACGATGCGTGTTCTGTAGATTCGTATCACAGTAACGAAAGTAACGAGTAACGAATATTTTTATACGGGTAGTCAGATCCGAAGTAACGAATACATACGGGTATTGATTTTCTCGTTACTTTTACAGCTCTAGTTACTTATGGCGCTCTAAACTCGGAAACACTTTTGGGCGCCAGTTTTGTTAATGAGGTTTACTCCACAACCTTCCAACACTATATTAAAAAGAGTAGCACCAGCTGAAGATACTAAATATACCAGAATCACAATTTTATTTACTCAAATTCTAGAAGGCAATAATAACAGGGTTTAATTGTCATTAATGCAGCAGAGAAATTCCGGATGCTGTAAACTGGTAAAAGAGTTTTTATACACGATTAAATAACCGAAACTATAACGAAAACTATTTAAAATTGTTTGTGAATAAAATAAATATTTCCAAGTCTTACTACTAGAGGAAGAAGCGAGCGCGCTTAGCCGATGTTTCGAAATTCCCGCGCGCGAATTTCGAAACGTCGGCCGGGCACGACCTTTTTACACCTACGTCATAAGAACTACGCTCGTTCCAGCAACGGTATTTTCACACATCATTGTCTTCACTCGCTGTCTTCTGTAGTAGTTAGAATGTGAGTGGGACGAGCGTAACTTGCTCTTATGATGCAGGTGGGAAAATGGAGCGCTTGGTCGACGTTTCGAAATTTGTGTCGTTAGGACGTGGGAGGGACGAGTGGTGTAAATGTAAAAAGGACGAGCGTGAATTTCAAATCGTCGACCATGCGCGTTCTCTTCCAAGGTAGTTAAGATGTAGAAATACGAGCGCTTTTTTTGGGTCAGATAACTTATTTTTTGAATCCTTATATATTTAAAAAACCGTTTTGGTTAAAATTTTTATAAAATTATTCAAGTTATATCAGGCGCACTATTACTTCAAAATAACGCAAGGATATTTTTTTTAATAGTATACCTTGTAATCGAGCTAATAAAATTAGCAGAATGCAGTTTTAATTTTTATTTTAATTTAAATACAGTACGGAAAAATATATTTTTGCTTAATTTTGGAATAGTGTCCAACCCCTATCTGTATATGTAATGTGTGGAGGGTGGGTTACCCCACGGCAGTTAGGCCTCATTAGGCTCATTGTGCATCCTCCTGAGAAGATAGTCACCTCCTAGCTCGTGAGCCAGCCTACAGATTTAATGTAGTTGACAACGTCGCCAAGAGGTGATTCTTTTAAATCGGTCCGTGTTAGCCGATACTCGCCAAACACAAATCTAATAAATGAGAGCGTCGAGCAATCGTAAAGGATATGCTCGTTAGTCTCATCTTCTTGTTTGCACCCTATACAGAGTGAGGATTCTGACAGATCCATGATATGGAGATGCTTTCGTACTTGGCAATCACCAGTCAGAAT